GCCTTACAGGAAGATAGCCCATTAAAAGACAGATCTGCTAGTTACTGAACTGATATTTTTATGATATTACTGAAGAAAATCACTAGAGAGTTGCACTTCACTATTCTGTGACAGATTCTGTAAGTTCCATTTGTATAAATCTGATAGGAAGACACAGAAATAGAGAAGAAACAGAATTGGAGGAAACTGCTTATAATTTGGGGTATTAGTGATAAATCCTTTTGATATTTCTTTTTGTTGAATACTTGGTTGGTACCATTGCCATCTGAATTCTGCACCAACACTATCACTATTTGATAAGTTTGTCAACCTCTCAGACTTGATGACAGTGGGAAGTCCTATTCAGGCTTTAAAAACATTCAAGTTCAGAATCACCCAAAGCAAGATACAGATCACTATGTTTATACTTCCTGCATTATCTTTATTAAAATTTTTTACTAAAACAGAGAAATATTCCTAGTGACTTTAATTTCTTTTCTTTTTCTTTTTAGTAACTAGCAGAAAGTCTTGAAGAAAATAACAAAGACTGAGGACTAATGCTATGACAATCAAAATATATACAACTGCAGTAATAAAAACACTTGTTCTGGCATAGGTACAGAAAAATGGATCAACGGAAAAGAACCAAACACCTAGAAACAAATTCAAAATTATACAGTGACCTGATATAGCAAAGTTTATCCTGTAGTAAAATCAGAAAAGAATGGTCTTTTCACTCATGGTTATGGATCACCTGGATATACATATAAGGAAAAAAAGTCAATCTTACCTGCTACTTAACAATATATTAAACAATTAATTCCAGGTGGAAAAAATGTAAATGTGAAAGGTCGAAAAATTAATTTTCCAGGGGAAAAAAAAAAGCTCCAAGTTGCTGCTGATCCACATTTGATCTCCCAACTCTTCCATAATGAAATGTCATGTGTTGCCAGAAAAGACTTCAGGATAAACTGCCTACGACTGTCCATCCTCACACAAGGCTGAGGTAGGAGAGCAAATAACATGTAATAAAATAGCTCCCCTGGCAATGGGGGAATGAAACTGACATCGGAATCGGGGCGGAGCTGTGTTGATATCACAAGCTCAACTCAGGGCCCTGGGCCCTCCTGACTTATTTAGACCATCCCCAGATGCTGTCACTCCTTATAAAGTAGTAGACCAAGACCCAAATGTTTTTCTATGGGCTTCTTTTTCTTGGAACAACAAGCCACTTTTCAATTTCTGTTGACAATATATTGTGAAAAGTCCCAAGGAAGATATGTCTGGAAACATGTCCTTAAGAACATAAGATACAACCTTCTATCTCTGAAATGTCCAAAGAACTCCAAGTTTCATCTTTAAATGACATAACTCTGTGATTAAACAAATGGTTTTCTAGCAAAAGATCACAAATTTTCAAAAACCAGCAAAACACTGAGTAGATCAATTATTTTTTTCAAATATTACATATATTTTTCCTTTAGCGTAACAAAATTAGCATTTAATAAGAATCACTCATTTCTTATGGAGCTTAAGAAATTCTTTTAGTTCATTCAAAGCCACATCTTTACCATTTAGAATTTTCTGGTTTAGCTGGAAATATTTTTCATTGGTCTAAACATACAGTTCAACTGATTATTCTCAAATGTGTGCACATGGGAGGAATTGTTTGCTTATGAGAACCTTCTTCAATAATTCAGATACTTAAATCATCATTTCCAAAGCAAATTTTCCAAAATCAAATAAATTGCAAAATTAGAAGTATAATTGAGTCTCCAAAAAGGAGTTCCAATCCTCTGCCAGAACAGACCTCAAATTCTTAATCCCTTGTCCAAAAAAATTGGACCAGGTATTGATGTTTTCCACCAAGCAAGCCACATAGCCACAAATGTTTCTCATTTACTCCACTCCTGGGACATACAGCTCAAATAAAAAATTTCCTGAATACCCCAAATTTCAGATGCAATTTGGAATGCAAGTGATTCATAATGTTATGCAGGAAACATTATGATCTTCTCTTACCAATTCAATGTTTCTGGAATGCAGTCCTCAGGAGGTTATCCCAACGAATCACAAGGCTGACATCATAGTCAGCCACATGACCCAACTATTAAGCTCTCTGCCCCTAGTTCAGAAGTGACTTTGAACCTTGAGAAATCTGCTACTCCAGCTACTGTTCAAGTAAGAAAGACGTTACCCCCAAGGGAGCTAGCAAAGGTCCACACTGTGCTCCGTGGGAAGAAACATGGTAACAGTGCACTCGACCCACTTCTTAGGAAAAGCCAAAACCATGTTTAAAGGAATTAAAGGCACTGTCATCACTTCTGCACTGAAGACTCTCACAATGGCCTCTGTTCAGATTCTAATTCAAGTGTGAAACTTCACAGAGCCTCTAGTTAGTTTATGAAACCCATTCTATTCCCACTCCATTTCACCCCCCTTATTAAGTCAAATAATAATTTCTTAGAGTGCCAAAGCTGCAGTCATCATCTTTTGTAGATTCCTATTTTCTTTCAAGGAAAGAAACACAGTTGATACAGAGGAAGAAAAGTACTGCACTGAATACACCGAATGAACATGAAAACTATTTTAAGTCTTAGAAATCATGGTTACTAAAAAGGAGACAAGTGTAGATGGCTACAATATAGTGAAATAAATAAACAGGACCTAGAGTAGCAAATGTGGGTAGTAAAAAATGGAGATAAACACTGACTGACAGTATTTCACTAACTAAAGAATTCAGTACATCAGCAAAATGTGCAGTGAAAGGAAATCCTCAAACAAAGATTACCTGAGGGATTCTAAGACAAAACTCCAAGCCGAGCACCTAACACCTTGCAAGTTTGAGCCAGCAGAGAGAGTAACTGATGCTTCAGAAATAATAGCCAATGGGAAAAAATGCTCAAAATGGAATTTGAGAAAAGCTTAAAATCATTATTTAAGCACAAGGATAAAAGAGTCTAGTTTAAATAGAATAATATTTTCTAAAATACAACAATGAAGAACCTCAGAAACAATGGGTTTCCTAAATTAGATTTCATGGCTCTATAGGCAATTTTAATACTGGTAACAGTTACAAAGACTTAAAGTGAGTCTGTATATTAAAATTAGGACATAACCGAAGATCCTGTGAGACACGTTGGCCTCAGAAAACTACGAAAAACATGAGATACTTGAAAAAAACTAATGTCTATACATTTAAAAAAGATCAATTTAAATGAGTGGTTGGATCAATGCACATTAGGAACAATCTAAAAAGTGGCTTGAATATAGCTGCGTGCCAAAAGATCCTATTTTCCATCCCCACTCAGCCCTTTGGTAAGAGTCCTCACTCAATTATCCATACAAAAAGAAACAGTAATCACACTGGGTATCCAATACTTACTTGTACTGAAAAAAATCTAGTTAGCTAATAATATCAGGAATGAAATATTCTGAATGACTATGTTTTCCGCTTCCTTTAGGACCTAATTCTGTTCACTTTCCCTCTTGCCCCTGTTGATTTTAGACTCAGAATTGGGTGAAATCAGCATAACCCTCAGTAAATTGTTAAATTCTCAGAGTTTTTTTAATAAATAAATAAATGACATGATGTCCATGAAGCTTCTAGAATAGTGCACATGGTAAATTCTCAAAGAGATGCTAGTTCCTTTATTCTTTTCCTTTCCCTCTTGCTTCTGCCAACCAGAGCTTTGCTCCTCTTCTGCAGTTTAGGATTCAGGAGCTGAGTTTTCACATGTGATCAGTCAACTCCCCAACAGAACATAATGTTTCTTTACTCTCTGAATGATCTGTTCAATGCATTTTAATTATAGAGCTCTCTAAAAACTTCTTGCCTTAACTTTTTCTCTTCTTCCCCTAATTCCCACTGAGAGATCATGGATCACTCACAGTTTGTAATATTGAGCCTAATATTGTGTGCAGCTCTCCACTAAGACACAGGAATACAAAATTCAATAAAACATGGTTCCCAGCCTAGACAGTTAATTTTATGTGTCAAATTGACTAGGCCATAAGGGTCCCTAGGAAATTGTTCAAACATTACTTTGGGTGTTTCTGTGAGAGTGTTTTTGCATGAAAATAACATTTAACTACAGGGACTTGATTGAGTAAAGTACATTGCCCCATACAATGTGGGTGAGCCTTGCCCAATCCACTGAAGGCCTGAAAAGAACAAAAGGGTGTCTGTCGCTCCCTCGAGTAAGAGAGGATTCTCCTGCCTGATGGCCTTTACCCTAGAACATCCACTCTTCAGGCCCGACAGCCTTTCAAGAGGGGCATCGGCTCTTCCTGATCCTACAGCAGCCTTCCAGTCCTTAGACCTGAACTAATCCATCAGCTCTTTCTCGTGTTCCAGTAGCCTAGTCTGTGCCTTCGGACTCAAAGTGCGACATTGGCTCTGCAGATTTTGGACTTGCCAGCCTCCGTAACCACATAAGCCAATTCCTTATTATAAATGTCTCTCTGGAGGGACAGATGGATGGATGGATGGATGATAGATAGATAGACAGACAGATAGACAGGTATCATAGACACAGATATAGACATACAGATCATATTGGTTGTTTCTCTGAGAACCCTGACTAACACACTACCCTCAAGAAGCTCAAAGTACAGTTGTGGGGATACACCCAAGTAAGCTTTCTCCGTGAAGCCTTTCCTAAACAATAACAGAGAATATTGTGCTACAAGCCAAATAAACCATCAAACAGAAAAGCTACCAATAAGCATTCACTGAATGAATTAAAAGTACTTGAAAGCAGAATCTGCCAAGGACAATATCAGACCATGTAATTCATTCCCTCAAGAATTCTCACAGAGTGAGTGATCTGGTGTCAGTTTACAGCCCGGTTTGCCCTTTCCTGCATACACTGACTAGATGAGATTTCTCTGCTTTCATGAGTTAGTTACCGTTATGTGAAGCAGGTCATTGGGAAATAAATTTAAAGCCAGGAGTACAGTTATAAATGAGTTCATTCTCCTTGCAGTGCAGAGTACAAATAAGAAGCAAATAAGCTCACTTGAATGGCAGCCAAGTTCTTCTGTTCCTGAGATGGTGCCTCATGAACAAAGCGAAGCCAGTTGGAGTGTCGCGGGTTGGTAGCATCCAAAATGTATAGAACTTCTCCCTTACTCCCACGAACCTGAAACATAAAAGCTCCTGAATTTACACTTGAAGTCAGTATCAGCCATTCCAAATAAGATTAGCCATACTAAAAATAACATAATATTTTTTTCATTAAGTATCACCTTTCTTATTTGCAGGTGTTGAAGAGATGCATTCCTCCCCTTAGACGTACATCCAAATAGAACCTCCTCTTTCACTTGGCAGATGTCTGGATGACTCACAACTGCAATCAACTCTCAGAAACATCCTGTGTTGATAGCTCTTTTCTGGTCAAAGTTAGTCATTTGTAGTTGCATTTTAATCAATGTGTTGCAATTGCAATTGTTCAGGGGATGACTACAGTCACAGCCCACCCCTTTCTTCCGCAGAAGAGGGCAGTACTGCTGGGTTCCCCAGGTGGGAGGGGTGGGGCTCGAATAACCCTTTCAGTTTCTCTCTCCACCTGCTTACTGAATCATTCCCCTATGAGGAGAATGTGCTAATCTAACCAGCAGAATCTGACATCCACTGAGCCACAGTTTCATGTTCTTAACTAGTGGATGAATAAGCCAAGTTCCATTTTGTCTTTTCATGGCCTGCTCACGTCTTGCTGAGAAGCACTGCGGGCTCTCTGGTTTTTGTCTCATGCCATAAGCCCTTCTGGTCAGATCTACCTGACTTTCAATTGCGGGAGGGCGGGTAACTGCCGAAGAATCAGGTCATCCATTGGACATTCTTGAATCCAAGCTGCTTCGAGTCTCGTTTCTCAAATCCCCTGCGTTGTAGGGTGGTGGGCACCTGCTCAGTTTTAAAAACCACGCCAATCTCTACCTAATGCTCACTCTGTGAATGCATTTACATTCAAGTGGGGCTGAGGAGAGGAGAGGGAGGGATGAGTGAGTAGCACTAAGATCTCCAACACCAAGTAACACAAACAGAAGGGCTCTCAACTCACTTGGGGTGGGGAGAAACAAATTCCAGATTCCCCAAATTTTATTTTATAAAATAAGACACAACCAGCCTAATGAAGTATATATTTTCATGATACATTTGGACAATCATTCATTCACTGAACACATGTTGAGTCTGTAGGGTGGTGCCAGGCACTGCTAAGGCACTGGAAATCTCTCCGTGAACAAGACAGATGAAGCCCGACCTCACAGCACTTCAGAGCAAACAAGCACA